GGTTGCTGTTTATCTCGTTTTAGATACTGAACCCTAATGAACTTCTAATAAATGTCACAGACATCTGTGTTGAATGCAACTCATGTTTCTTTTTATTTATCATTGCAGGTGTCGCCATTTTTACTAGCGTTGTCTGGGAATAGCCGTGAGCTGCGGTTTGGAGACCAGTTGATTTGGTGAAGTGGGCCTACAAAAAAAATACATTGGAAAAAAATGTTTTTTCTCAGAAGAAGTATTTTCAGCAGAAATATATACCATTTTGTCAACTCAGCATTGACGGTTCCCGCATCCCTCACAGTAGGGCGCAGGTCGCTTTACGTGGGTGAACGGGCCTCGCTTAGCAAAACATTCAGTGCCAGAGATGTCGCACTTTTTGCTGAGCTGACGGGGGACACGAATCCTCTCCACCTCGACCCCGAATACACCAAAACAACCTCTTTCGAGACCCCCATTGTTCACGGAGTGCTGATTAATGGTCTGATCTCAGCAATTCTGGGGACAAAGTTGCCCGGCAAAGGCTGCGTGTTTCTCTACCAGGAAATACGCTTTCCGGCGCCCCTCTACATCGGAGAGGAGGTTGTGGCAGAAGCGGAGGTCAAAAAGATCAAAATGTCCTTTGCTTTTATTTCTGTTTCCTGCGCTGCCAAAGACAAAGTGGTCATGGAGGGAGAGGTCATGGTCATGATGCCGCAAGACGCACAACACTCATGAGAAACCTGAGTGAATGCTGCCGTTCAGTTTTTTATGTGCTGACAGGAATGAAATGTTCTTTCTTGCTTATTATTGTTCTTTTGAAATGTAACACTCACTCAGAGATTTAATATTTCTTGTTTTTTGTTCTCTGAGAAGTTGTTTGAATAAAAAATAGTGTGAGAAAATAAACCACCCTTTGGCTTAGTTCTTTGGTGTGGGCAATAACTAGCTGTGTCCAACCTCAACAAAGACATCATTTTATGTTACTTAAAACAGTAATTCAAAATTGTAAGGTTAACATAATAGTGGTAAAATTACATTAGATTAACCAGCAAACTTCTTCCAGTATAGCTTTCTCCACAAGATCTTTAACCGAGATCAAATAACCTTTGTCCTCAGTCCTTACATTTTTCGCTTGCTTTCTCTTTTGATTAGTTGAAGAAATATATGTGTGTAGATTTACATGTAGTATTTACATAATGCTTGTCGATTAACTGTATTACACTAAACTATATTAATTACTGAACTATATATTATACTTTTTCCTTTGTTTTAATATTTGGCTTTGCTTTATGTTTGCACATTATGTGTAAATAAATACATGCATTTCTGATGTTCTATGCGCTAATATTTGCTTTGCCAAGAAAATATGTTATAAAATATAGAAACTAGAACATTGTTTACATTGAGTCACGTGCTACTCGGACTGGTCACATGGTTTTCCCTTGACAACGTTTAGCTTCACTGCTAGCAGCTTCGCCAAGATGCAA